AAAAAAACAAGAAAACTATATTATTATTGTTAATCAAAGTTTTCCAAAACAATGGCAACTTACTACAACAAGAACAATGTTGATGTTGAGATGGGCAACAATGGGCAGTTGTACCCCGGGATGTCGGAAAATCCTCAGATGAGATGGGCATTCATACGTAAAGTTTATTCTATCCTTTGCATACAGTTCCTTCTTACGTTTGGAGTTGCCATGGCCATGTTTCTAATCCAACCGGTTCGAACGTTCATGCGTACTCCACCCGGGATCATTGTCTTCGTTGCCATCTTGATCGTCACCTTTATACGTGAGTTTTTTTTTAAAAAAAAATAAAAATCATGGGGGTGTGGTTATTATCATTATTATTGTGTTGAATTTGTTCCTATGGAGTTGTTTGGTTGGTACATTTTGCAGTTTTTTTTTTTTATGATTTTATTTGTGTCTTCGATTGTTATGTGTAGTTTTTTTCTTTTATGTTGACGTTGTGTTTGAATTTGGTGTTTCGTGCGTATGATTTTCTTGTCGTTCTTGGAGAGCATGCACGAATATTTGTTTTTAGTTTTTACTTCGGGTTTTGCCTCTGTTTTTCCCCGAATATTATGTAATGGTTAATTTCAATAGTTATCTTCAATAATGATGTATCATATGTATGCTTTCGTGTGAGTACTTTGAAGATTTATGTTTTGTGCTTCTATAGCTAGACAATCTACACATAGTTGTTTATAATTAATGATGCATATTTGCATTTTATCTCAATCAATTTGATGAAAATGAACGTAATATCGCTGTTTATCGATTATGCAACTCATAAAGAAATTGGTATATATGTAACTAGCATCGTTGTTCAAATGATTAAAGTATTCTCAACGTACTCTAGAGACGGTTTTCTCTCTATCGTTCGGTAGATTTAGATCACCAATCGAAAACATTCACGCTCTTTACTAAACCTATGCATTTATATTCATGTTGCTCCTAAAAGTATATATGCTATCTTAGTCGATGGAGTGTCGTTAAAAAAACGGGCGCATGTAAATTCTCGATAATTTTCTTGACTACTAATGATTTGAAAAAAAAACATGCAGTGTGCATGATGATGCATTGCTTTAGCCAGAAACATCCATGGAACATCATCCTTTTGTTTCTCTTCACTTTGGCAATGGCTTGTCTGGTTGGAGCTTCTTCTACTCTACGGAAAGGTTCGCATATCCTTTTTTAATCTTTAATTCTTTTCATGTTTTTTCTTTCGGTCTAATTTTTAACAAGTGTAATAAAATGCAGTTATTGTCTTAATAAAAATGATTAGGCCATTATGTAACTTGAGTTTGGTTTTTTTTTTTTTTAATGAGTCGGAGCGACAAAGGGCTGAATCTGATTTTGTTCTTAACTGGTAATTAATTAATATGTCAGGTGAAACCGTGCTACTGGCAGCCGGTCTAACGTTAGTCATAACCATCGGCCTCACTCTCTTCACATTCATTGCGGCCAAACGAGGGGTCGACTTTAGCTTTCTTGGGCCTTTTCTATTTTGTGCTCTCTTGCTCCTTTTCGCCTTTGCTATTATCCGGGTAAATTGCGCTGTTATAAACTCGTAACTTTTCACGCGCATGTAATTTTTACACTATTGTTGCTTATACTTGTTATTATTTTGTACTATTTCTATTACAGATCATATTTCCTATGGGAAGATTAGGGGAGCAAGTGATCGGGTGCATTGGGGCGCTCGTGTTCTCGGGTTTCATCATATACGATACGGATAATGTGATCAAGCGGTTCACGTACGATCAATACATTGAAGCTGCAGCTTGTCTGTTTCTTGATATAATCAACCTTTTCTTGAGTCTTCTTGCTATTTTGGGTGGCGACGACTGATTTAATTTATGGAGGGCTCGTTTGGGGGATTTTTTTTTTTTTTTTTTACTATTAGCTAATGATGATCGAAGCTAATCGAATTTCGATATAATATATGCATGGAATATAAATTTCAAAAGGGGATTTGATTATAATAGGTTGTGTGTTTTTTGAGTAGAGGTGGTGTTCTTAATGTTTTGTTCTCTCTTTCATTGTTTACTTATGGCCATGTTAATGGAGTTTGTGACTCTGTTCTGCAAATTAAATACAGTCAAATCTAAGTAGGATTCAAATTCCTTGAGTTGTTATGAAAGCTGTATGGATCCATACTGAGATTCATATCTATTTTGTTTCATATCATAACTGCTCTATAACTAAATGAACAAAAGATTCCAAAAGGTATATGGGAAATTCTACGGTCCCGTTACGGAACCATTCCGTCGAAGTTTATAACCGTTAGATCAACTATGCACGACAGTTACATGATGATCTAACGGATACAAATCCCGACGGAATAGTTCCGCAACGGGACAATAGTATTTTCCAACAATTATTTAGGGGGTTGTATTCAATTTCAACTTTTAGAGACTTTTTAAGACTTTTAGAATTATGGTGTATTCAATTAGAACTTTTAAAGACTTTTGAAAAGTTTACATGTATTCAATTGAGACTTTTAATGACTTTTAATAAGTCTCCAAAAGTCTCAGGGTATTCAATTAAAACATTCTGAGAGTCTTTATAAGTCACCCGGTATTCAAAACAGAATGACTTTGTGAGACTTTTTAAATTTTGAGACTTTTAGAGACTTTTGTAACAAAATTACAAAGGAAAAGTCTCAACAGAAATCTCATCAATATTGGTGAGATTTTGCTGGACTTATGTGACTCTTTCACGCTCTCTTTTTTTTTTTTTTTTTTCTTTCTAACATGACTTTGTATCTCATATCATTTTCATGCTCTATTATTTACTTATTTATTTTGATACCTTGTGTAATTTTTATTTTCATACGTTTAGAGAATTTTATTAGAAGAGATTTGGACGATGCCATGGTGGCCTATGAATCCTACAGTCAACCATCAGTCGCCTGGTCAATTGGTCATTAAATTTACTAATTCTAACTATTTAAAACTTAATCCTCCTCGTATATACAAATATATAAATAGAGTTAAGAGTCAAATTATTTGTTTGTCAATTTTCTACTTCAAAAATATATTATTGATCTTAGATTGGTTGCATATGCAAGTGCCCAAAAAATAATCACAAATTCTATATTTCGGTTATACTTTTACAATCAAAATATATATACTCATACTATGAAATATCGTTTTTATATATGTTGATTTTTTAAATGATGACATTTAGTTTGTAAATTTGTATATCGATAGAAAAAAGTATAATTGTCTAATCGTTAGATTTTTAAATTTCACCCTGCTACAGTATTTACTATTGAATCTACACACGTTCATGTGGTATGCTATTTTGATGTACTTATGACCTATAGCTGAAAAGTTAACTTATATGATAAAAGTGTTTAGTAAAATTAGTTGATAAGCTAGCTGAAACAAAAATATCAACGAGCTTATTTTAAAGCTACCTAAAGAAGCTTATGAGATAAGCTCAAACTTTCTAACTAAGCATGTCTCATCTAGTGTGTAAGCTTAATCGGTCTATCTATGGACTGAAGCAAGCTTCGAAATCTTGGAACGTACGGTTTGATGAGATGATCCAGTCGTACAGGTTCATTAAGTGTCTGGATGAGCCGATTATCCATTTCCAGCTGTTCGGGGCAATTTGGCACAAACTTACCCCCACTCACGCAGATAATAGTTGATTAGATTAGGAAGGGGTTGAGATTTTATCAAACAAAACTTATTTAAATACAAGAAGCTTATAAGCTAACCAAATATGCTAAGTTAACTTATTTGTCTATCAAACATAACCGTAAAAAATAAATAAATAAATAAAATAAAATAAAAAATGAAAAACTTGATGAATACACTAGTATCAAGTGTTCCCCTAACAATATATCTTTATTGTTTTATAATTTGTGATCATGAACTTGTTGAAGGCTAAATTTGTCTTTCCACTTGAATAAGACGGTAGAAAATTTTGAATGGAAAAATAACCCTAGTCCAATCAGGTAAAAACTCGGTACAAAACTCTTCGTCTTCTTCGTTTGTCCCACACTGGTTCACAGAAATTCACACGCAAGACGTGCTGTTTATAGGAGCTCCTATTTCAGCAAAAAACGAAGGGAGAAAACCCCAAATTCTTTTGTTTTCCCGTCAAGATTCGAAGCAATGGCCGATTCCCGCGACAAAAGATTTGTCGACATTGAGATGGCGATCGGAGGATTCTCAGGCGTGGAGCATGAACTGAGATGCGCCTTCATCTGTAAAGTGTACGCCATACTGTGCGTGCAGCTGGTGATGGTATTTGGGGTTTCTTTGGCCATGACTTTGGTTCACCCTGTTCGCAAGTTCATGCTCACTGATGCTGGCTACTACGTCCTCTTTGGAGCCATGGGTTTCACCATTATAGGTGAGTTGAAAACCTTGGGTATTTAATTATTACTGATTTGATAAATTTTTCGAGTGTGTATTTTTGTGTTTTCGTGTGGGTTCATGGTTTCCTTTGATAATTTCTGGATTCGGGTTTGTTGGGTCCTTTTTTTTTTTCAAATGTTCACGTCGTAAATATGTTTGGTGTGTCGATTTGGTTCTGAATTCTGGTGTCGGCTCTTTATGTTACTTACTTGTTTCGTGGTTGATTTTCATGATAGGTAATTGTGAATTTGTTTGTTTCATGTTTAACATATTTAGCCTATCCTGAGGTTTCTAGTCATTATTCACGTCTTTCTTGATCTTTGTTGCGTATAGAATCGTGGTTTTTTTTTTTTTTTTTTTTTTT